TATATATATATATATATATATAATCCTAATATAGTTTTGGATTATTATTGATAAAATATTATCTGCATATGTGTATGTATCTTCATGTGAGGCAGAAGAATTCATTTAGCTCCACTTGGCATCACTATCTAAGTGCCACGAAAGGTCCTGTGGAGCCCTGCTCTTAGAGAAAAAATTGCGTACGTAAGACGTATGCAGCGCTGCGTACATTAGGGAGGTTGTTCAAAGGGTATTAGAGGGTTATATCCGTGTTATGCCCCCTTGTAACTTCCCTGTAACCTACATGTCACATATTTGTATGTTACAGGGAGGTTACATGAGATATAATGTGGATACAACCACCTAATACCAGAGATATAACACGGATATAACCCCCCAATACCCTCTGTATAACCTCCCGACGTATGCAGCGATGAGTACGTACACAATTTTTTCTTCTGCTCTTATTGCTGTAATATTCTTTAGGGATAGCAGCAGTCATGTGAATTTTCTAATTAAGGCCCGTAAATTAATAAAATTTAATAGAAATATGAATCAAATATCTTTTATTGAAATTTAAAAAATCTAACAAAAATTTAGGAGTGTAGTTGTTTTTTTTTTACGTACTTTTAGTGAGAAAGAGTTCTAAATAATCCTGATTATTATGTAGTTAATTTAATTCAAGAATAATACTTTTCTTTAATTTTATATTCTGATCATATAAATTAATCCTAAATAACCCTTCAAGCCTAATTGATGAAAACAAGATACAAAATTGACCGAATTTTGACCCCCATCAATGTAATGTAAAGAGAATATTTTGGGATTTATTTTGTAAAATGAAACTAAATCAGATAAATATGATGCTATCAAACTAAATTGCCCATAAGTAAAGAATAAAATGACTATTTTTTTATTTTTATTTTTAGACTTTTATTTTTAGACCATGCAATTACAAGGAACACCTCAAATATCACCAAGAAAAAAAAAACTGTGGTAATAACGTAATGTGTAATATGGTTACAAAGGCTTGCTTAGAGGAATATTTGCCTTAAGGTGGGAGGTGATTTTTTTTTTTATATTTATGATTTTACAGTTAAAAAATTCCTTAGCAAATTTTTCACAGATTGAACAGCTCAGAACAGAACATCTATGAGAATAAACAAAGATATATTCAAAGGACTGCGAACTAGAGGCCAAAGATTGGTCGCGTGACTAACCAAAGGTCAACCGACCCGAGAACGGTCGAACCAAATACCAAATATTGATAGAGCTGTTGAACTAGAGTAAACTGACCCAAAGGTTGATCGAACAGGTGGTTGACTGACTCGGAGAAAATTCAGGTAAAGGCAAATCTGCAAGAGGACAATCTGCTAGATATTCAACGACCATACGACATGAAATCCATAAATTGGGTGTCCGTTGATTAAAAAGAATCAAGGATGTGATTATCATTTCACACTATTCTGAGTTATATATAAATTGAGAAGTATTAAATACAATAATGCCTTTTGAAATCATATATAAATGATACCTTGACTCTCACAAGCTACACTCTTTTCTTCGGGTTAGTTTTCGGGACAAATTTAGGTTCAAGAATGGTGATTATCTTTTTTGACATACATGGTGTTTTTATGGAGGCTAGGATGTACACTGGCCCGTAACGCCGTAAATTTGTTCTGCTCTGCTCTGAGTTGCCCAGTGGCATAAGACTCCACCGTATTAGCTACCATTTCTCCCCTATATAACGAGTGGACTGCGAACGCAGCTGCTGGAGATATGAAACAACAGCTAGCAACAGAAATTGACCTGAAATCCAATACTTCGCAAGCTATGGTGCACCTTCGGGGCGCCGACGGGCCCATCGAATCGCCACAATGGCCCATGGAAGCCGCCGACAAGTGTCAGAAGTTTACTTCGCCGCAGCAACCACTTGTCTTCGACGCCGCGTTCATGAGCCAACAAACAGATATACCTTCCCAATTCGTATGGCCTGAAGAGGAAACACCAAAGTCGGACGCACAGGAGGAGCTCTCCCTTCCCCTCATCGACCTTGACATGTTCTTCGCAGGCCGGCCCGAGGACGAGGCCGAGGTGGCACGGCTTGTAGGGGAGGCCTGCTCCACGCACGGGTTCTTCCAAGTTGTGAACCATCGCATCGATCCCACGCTCCTAGCCGATGCCCACCGATGCGTTGAAGAGTTCTTCTCGATGCCGCTAAGCGATAAGCAGAAAGCGCAGAGGTATCCCGGGGAGTGCTGCGGCTACGCTAGCAGCTTCACCGGCCGGTTTTCCTCCAAACTACCCTGGAAGGAAACCCTCTCCTTCCGTTTCTCTCCTTCTTCCCCCTCCATCGTCCACAACTATTTTGTCGGCAAACTCGGCCAAAATTTTCGAGACTTCGGGTGAGCTGTAGTTCGCTAGCTAGTTAGAATACTCCCATCTCCCCGCAGATTAATTTCCGGAGACTAATTGTTGGATTTTATTCATTCGATGCAGGGAAGTGTACCAAAACTACTGCGAGGCGATGAACACACTGTCGCTGAAGATAATGGAAATACTTGGAATAAGCCTCGGCGTTGGCCGCGCACGCTTTCGTGACTTCTTCCAAGGCAACGATTCGATAATGAGGCTCAACTATTACCCGCCATGCCAGAAGCCGGTGCTCACGCTGGGGACCGGACCGCACTGTGACCCGACCTCATTAACTATTCTCCACCAGGACGACGTCGGCGGCCTTCAGGTTTTCTCTGACGGCAAGTGGCGCACCGTCAGCCCCAAAACTAACTCCTTTATCGTTAACATAGGCGACACTTTCATGGCAAGCCCCCTCTCTCTTTTATCTCGAAATAACATAATTCGATGAATGCAAAAGGCTGTCTGTGTAACTGTTTTGCGTTCTCTTTCAGGCACTGTCCAATCAGAGATACAAAAGCTGCCTTCACCGTGCGGTGGTAAACAGTCAGAAGCCGAGGAAATCGCTGGCTTTCTTTCTCAGCCCGGAGATGGATAAGGTGGTGAGGCCACCGGGAGAGCTTGTTGACTCGAACAACCCGAGAGTTTATCCGGACTTCACCTGGTCGGCCCTTCTTGAGTTCACTCAGAAGCATTATAGGTCCGATATGAACACCATGGACGCATTCTCCAAGTGGATTCAGAAGGCCATTATAAACTAAATTTTACGCTTTCTTTTCCCTTTTTTTTGTTTATGTTTCTCCTTTTTATTCACCAATATATGGTGTCCGACTAGTTATGAACTAGCATCTAGAAGATTGCAAATATAAATAAATAAAGAAAATTTCTTGATAGCTCGCAAATTGTGCTCATGGACTGTGTCTTAATTGAATTTGAAAATGCATAATTGAATCAGAGAGAGAGTGATGGAATTCCATGTTGAAAGGTGATCGATCAATGTTCCCTCTCATCCCAGGCTTTGTCTTGTAGCTACATACTAAACTTGTCGGATCTCCATTCGCATTTGTCGTGTAGTTCTTGACAGTATGGCCTACAGGCATTGGCCGGTTCGGTGGAAGAGGGTGAGGAAGGACCTAGTTGGTCGCAGTGGAGAATGATTCTTGCTGTGTATTATTTCGTCGTATCGGCCTAACCATTATTAGGGGCTTGAACATCGAGACTTGATTAAATTGTCTTTAATGCTTTGCTAATTTCACGATTCTATATTGAGTATTTGTTTAATTGGCTTCATCTTAAGAGTGAATAAATATTTTGTTAATTAATTCTTTGCTCAATTCTACTAAAAAAGCGTTCATTTTGTTACAAATAAAAATGAAAAAATAATTTATAGTTATATAAAAAATGAAAAAAGTTGAAATTTTGCATTTTTTTTTTCAATGAAAAAGTGAAAATTAATTTCTCATTTTGGTTTACATTTACTTTTCATTTCCCCTCTTACAATTCTTCAAATTAAATAAAATGTGATAAACTTCTTCTAGACCCACTAACAATTGCAAAAAGGAAATGGAAGATGCCGAAACTTAATTATGCTAGCACTACAAAAATTTCATGCTAATAAATCATATTATTGGTCAATAAAGTTTTGTTTGATTTGCATGAATTGCTGGAAATAAAATGAAAATGAAATAATAAAAAAATAGAATTGAAGGTAACATTGTCTCACTATTTGTTTGAGGAAACAAATATTGTTTTTTTTTAAAAGAAAATTTCTTGATCTGGAATTGAGATTTTGCTGCTTCTTCTATGGAGGGTACACAATGTCCTAATATTTTTTTTTTTCATTTGCTGGTAAAGATGGTAGGAATTTATATAGAAATGAAAAAAATAATTAATTTCTTATATGTTTAGATAAATCATCTATTAATTATATAGATCCAAAATAAACTTATAAATTAGTATATATTTGATATAACAGATTTAGAAACCATTTGTTGTTTAGAAACCATTTGTTGTTTAGAAAACATTTGTAGTTTATTAATTGTACATTGAAAATGTGTCAGCGCTGATTCTGAGGAGATCTAATAGTCCAAAGAAGAAGTGTGCAACATAAGAGGGCCCACCGACGGAAGACCAGAATGATCACTTATTCGATTGGATGCAACAGTTCAAGTCAAAGCAAGCAAGGTCAAAATTGACCGAGTCAAAAGATGACCGAATGATCGGCTTAAGTGAAAATCTAGCCCCGCAAAAACTCCAATCATATCGGGGATGTCTGAAAGCTCCCTCTTTTATTATTAAGGGTCACCATTCAGACAAACATGGACGTTCAAACCAGCCTTGTCAATTAGAAGTCAATCGAGCTCGACCAACCAGCAACACTGACAAAGCCCCTAACCAAACGAACCGGACTTGCCAAAATGAAGTCATACATGCTCAGCTAAACAAGAGCAGACGAACGATAGACTCATTTATGTAAAATACCTAAAATACAATATATAGTTCCCATTAAAATAGGGGCAAAAATATAATATCATCATATAGTACTTTCTTCTCTATAAATTGGGAGATCATTTTATGTATAAAAGGGGGAAGATGCACCCCATTTTGGCCACAAATTTTTGGAAAGGTCAACATATTTGATATAATTTACTGTACATGAATGTAAAAAAAAAAAAAGAATTCATCTTAAAAAGAGTGATGAGTGTGGATTATGCCATATATTAGAAGGGGAGCAACCCAAGAAGAGAAACTCACAACAAAGACACTAATAACATGGAGTGTGTCTGAGAGTTTGTGAACCAGTAGATCTAAAAGTTAATGGATCAAATACTGCTTGCACCCGAGAGGCACTGGCTCAAGGAAAAGAGATGTACCCTGAGTGAATCGGTCGACGTTCAACAACCGAAGAACCCCTAGTCATGGGAAGAGAAATTGACTCCCAATATTTCAATAGTGTTGGGTCAACAACAATCAACTGACACTAGTTCATGCATAATGATGTGCCACAATAGAAAGTGAATGCTTTCTCTCAATTAATCTCTGAGGCTAAGCCCAGAGAGGTTCAAAATCCTGATGCTAGCTTTCTGTAAGGGTAGGTCAAATCCGACCAACCACATAGTCTCGTTTGAGTTGAATGTGTGTTTGTTTAAGGATCACTAACACACTGAAATGATGTTTCTTCTTCACCACACTAAAAGACTCAATCCTCAGGTGGTTCAATGCATTGCCACCGAGAGTAATTACATCATTTGCTGACTTCAAGCAAATAATTGTGGCACAATTTGTCAGCTCCCAAAAGCCCAACAAAAACTTAGAGGACCTCTTGCAATTCCAACAAACATAGAACGAGAGCCTTCATTCATTCATCATTTGCTTCCAAAAGGAGACATTGGAAATGTTGAATATGGAACCCGCGTTGTCCCATGCTGCCCAACCTCAAGGATTGAAGGAACGACCCTTCCAATAAAAGCAAGACCTGCAACAACCGAAGATGCTAGCCAAGCTATTGGAACTGACCAACTGTCACATATTTTCAAAATAATACAACTCCTACCTCACATCATTCATAACAGAACAAGCCAACTGCCATCCACCAAAGAGAATCAGTCGTAAAGAAAGCCAAAATCCTAGACACAATCTTCACCACTTGTCTTAAACTCGCCTCAATTAAGACTCACAAACTCACTCGGATTACCAGGCAACCAATATAACATACAATTTACAACAATCATGCATCATAAAAACATATGTATTCTAGCTCAAAACTGGTCATGCCTATTAGCAACAAGATCCGTGGTGCGTAGAGTATGAATTACCACAAAAACAAGTCTCGATAGTTACCCTTATGAAGGCTAAAATAAGATCCATTTAATAAGATTATCGTAAAGTGCAGCTTATCCAATGCTACAACCTAACCAAGCGACCAAGAACGGGAAAAGTAAGCCTTGATTCAAGCGGTAACTCCATATAACCAACTGAAGATATTATTTAAAAAAACCAAACCACCAATCATCTCAAGTATTTATCACAAAAAAAAAAAATTCCAATATGTGTATTTACAATTGAAGGTGAAAATAGACCAAAAAATTTAATTTATTTCATGATTAAAAACTTATAAAGAATTTCCAATAAATTTCTTTACAAGTGTAGTTCAAGAAGAATTTTTTTTCTTAGTTATAGATGAAACCGAAGATGAGTTAAAGATTTGAAGAACAACTGAGTTTAACAAGAAGGTAGTAAATTTATCCATATCACCCACTCGTAGGAGATCAACTTTGATTTTATCATCTGACTGACATTGAAGGACACTTCTATCCTGAGCTATGCAGAGTGGTTTTCCACTTGTTGAGGGTAGGAAGGAAGCTCAGTGAAGAACACTGATGTCCTTATCGTTGACATTTTTCCCTTCAAGGAAAGCTCAGTGAAGAACTCGTCTGATGTCCTTATCGTTGACATTTTTCCCTTCAAGGCTCGATTCTCTTTCTGAGTTGTCAACAATAACTCTAATAGTCTGAGTATCTCAGCTTCAACCACATTCACCCAAATTTTTTTGCCACGTTTACCCTTTCCTTGGCCTTTGACAATTTTTCTTCTGTCTCTAGAAGGACTGTCGATTAGAAGTACAAAATGTCTCAGGCTATCAATTGATATCGGTCGGTTGACCGACCTACGTCTGAGAAACTTATCTTGTTGATGATCTTCTCGAAAGAGAAAAAATATATCACTTTGGCAATAGTCAAGGTGTATAGAGTCGCAGTAGGGAAACCAGAGTACTAATCTCTCCTCATTTCGATCATCCGAGCTAGTGCTCACCTTTGCCCTCTCGTCTTACATCAAAGCCCATTCCAGGGGGGGGGGGGGGGGGGGTCGTACTTCC